TGTTCGGGTTCGATTGGCTTCCGCCTAACGCTGCTCGCAGCTTACACAAAAGCCAAAAGCCAAAGCCAAAGCCAAAATCAAAGCCAGAGCCAGAGCCAGAGCTACAGGTTGCACTGCGGTTGTTTTGTTGCTTTTGTGCTTTTGCTGCCGTTGGATATCTTTTCAATTTGCGTACCAAATCCAATTAGACTTGGGTATTTGGTTCAGTTTCAGTGCCCGGAATATCTGGGGATTCGTTCCCTTTGTACGGGTGTTATTCTGTTAAATTTTTAACAATTTCGCACTGGTATTTTGTTCACATTTTAGCGGCTGAAACGCACGCACAAGTTTCACTTTTTAGCTCTTTGCTGCTACATAAAAATGTTTGATTGTTGTTGCTCAGGTTTTTTATAGCGTGTGTTTTCGTTATTTTTACGCACAAAATATATTTCACGATAGATAGTTGCAACTGCGACTGCGGAACCCTCCGCTTATTCACGTTCGAATAATAGTATCAAGAAAATCTTTTAACGCAGAACCGCTTGGCTCAAATAACGGGCGACTTTTGAAAAAATCAGTTGGCCGGTAACCAGAATATATATGGCGCATATAGTATATGCATTCGTTTGGGCAAAGAGAGCGTTCTCTTTCGCTGTATGTTAGCTTAACAGAGACCAGCAGCCGAGAGAGAACATAAGAGCTGTTAATGTCAAGCTATTTGCCTAAGAGCGAGAAATATTGCCCGCTAAGAGAGATTTCTGTTGCTAACATTTCTTGTGGTGTGTGTGTGTTTCAGACGCGCTCTCCCTCTCTTTCTCTCTCTGTCTATTCCAGCTGTTGCTTTGTTGTTATTCCGGCTTTTGTTATCAGATTTTTGCGTTGTTTTGTCGCTCTGCAGGTAAATTGTTCGACGACACGGGCGCATGTGCAACTCTCTCAATGCAGCAGCTGTTTTCCCTTCCCTTTGTCTGGTCTTTTCCGCTTTTCTGTTTTGCGACCTGCACAATGCAAAGAAAAATGGATTGGCCTTGTCGGAGTTGTTGATTGTATAATGGGATGAAATGGATAAGGGCGGCAATGGAGTGAGAGTGGGAGAGCTTGGATCTTGTCATTCATTGTATGTATGTATGTATGTATACCCTTGCAGAGAGTATTATGATTTTGAACATCATTTCAAGATACCTAATGACAAAAAAGGCACAAATAGCTGCAATTGTAATGATCGACCTTCTTGATGGATCAAGCATTTTATAGGGCGACTCGATGTGCCATGTAAATACTATGTATTATGTAAATATGTACATATGTATGTATCTGCAGGCCAGACAAATGACAGTGACACAGACAGACAAGGAAGGGCACAGCTCACATGTTTTGTGGTAGCTATTGTGGTGCATGGTCTAGAAATGACTTTGGGGGCAAACGATGGCCCATTTGGGGTTTCCGTTTCTATATGTACATAAAATCAATATCACTGCAATGCCCATCGGCAAATGACAATAGACAATGATTGAGCGACACAACTGATGGATGGGGCGAGATGGCGAGAAGGGGGGGTGCTTTGTTTAGTGTCCGCCCCAATATCGAAAATTCATTTGTCTAACCTTTGCAACAGAATATGCAAATAGAGAAGCCCCTCCTGGGCTTCAGCTGCATAATGCATCCAACACATTTGCCAAATGTACATTTAATTAGATTTTGTGGACATCACAGGGGCAGCAGTAAAGATTGATAAGGGTGTAAGTACATCCATTTGGAGCATTTTGATATGGAGCAATTATCATAAAATATTCAAGAAGCCAGGACCGTAAACATATTCATGCCGTTGGCAGCCAAAGAATTTTGGTACTAGGTTGATTTTTCCTATGCCTATGGCCTGTGATGAATTTTTGAAAAATACCCGTGCTCTTTGCTTGGCCTCTAGCCCGAGTTAGCCCGAGTACCGTACCACACCCAGACCTCTTAGTCAATGATCGAAACGCGCTCTGGTGCCTATAAATCAGCTTTTAGCATCGTCTAGTAGTCCGACAAGGTTGTGGTTGAAACAGAATTAAAGGCAATGGAAGGAGCTGTGGAAAACATAAATAATTATTAGTTCAGTTGGTTAGTAGACATGCATTGACTAAGATATTATTCTCAGTGTATGATCTTCTGTTAGCTGCGGTTCGGTCTCTGTTATAGATTAGTCTACATGCAATGCCCGTGTAAATGTAAAGTAACAAGAGCAGAAGCAAATTTAACAGAAGAGCTTTTCGGCTCTGTTAATTCAAATGAGTAGCTTTTCTGTCTCTGTTAGCTTTACAGAACAGCTTTTCGGATCTGTTAAAAACAAATAAACATTATGTAGAAAATAATTTAATGTAGAAAGTAGAACATACATATATATAATGTAACATTTTTAAGGATAAAGAGAATAATTTGCATTATAATTATGAATTATATTACTTTTATTTTATTATCTTTATTTTCATAGATAAATATTTATCCCACAGATACAAATGGATCTGGCAGATGGCGGTCCATCGATGGCATTTTTTATTTGTTGCTTAAACAAGTAGGGGGCTGGCGCACGAGCGAAGCAGGAGGCTTGCCCCCTAGTATAAATAAAGAAACGAATTTATTTAATTGTTCCGTTATTAGCACGTTGGCTATTATCAATGACGGCTGAAATCCCTATGTGCAATCAGCCGTGAAAGCGGAAGATAAAGAAGTTATGCCGTACGACTGTTTGCTGTTGAAATTGGATCAATTATACCACTTTATGAGCCGATAGGAAAGTCTCCCATTTATCAAAAGTCATTATATTGTATCTTTCTGTTCCTTCGGTGGCACACACTTCAGCCTCATGCCAGGGATCGGATCCATGAATCGTGATCATGATTATGTTGTTGGACTTTGAGCACAACCAAAAGACCTCGTGCGGCGTGCGGGTGGAATGATTTCTGAATTCTTGAGGCGTCTAGGTTGAGTACTACTTGGGTATGTACATATATATAATTCGGCTGATGACATTACTCATCCTGGACAGAGACGGAGACGGAGACAAACAAACAAAAGCGGTGGTGGGTGACCTCGTTCTGATAAGAGATTGGATCGATTCGCCGGAGCAGGAGGCGCTTCGGCCGAGAGGCATTTTGTAAACATTCCTATTTATAGTCACCATCGCGAGCAATCTTCAATCGGCTCTTTGTGGCTTGACTCTATAAATACGGAGTAACAGTTTCCTTGTACATATGTCTGGGATCTAGCCTCCCACCACACCCTCACCCACAGCTCTCCAAAAGGCCCATGGCAACAGCTCCTCGGATCAGATCATGCAGCATACCATTCCATCGTTCCATCAATAGTGCCGATTGACCGAATCTTTTCCAAATTTTAATGAAATGTTTCATGATTTATGCTCCATGGAACGTGCGCGATCTGATAAACGAAACCACTTGTCTGGCCAAATACTATATTGGGGAGTGCTTCCCTGTCCGATCGAGTGGACTAATTAGCACAAAAAAAAAAGACAGAAAGAAAGAAAGAAAATATGAAATCAGAAATGAGCACGAATGGTGGCTGATTGCGATAATCTTTTGGCTCCAAAGTTCATTGTCTGGGCCAAGGAATCATTGCTTATAATTTGGTGTTTACACCTAGACAAAAGTGAATTGGTTCAAAATGACAATGCCCTGGTGCGTACCTCCTTCTTCCATATGTGTGCGTGTGTTTGTATGTATAATTGTTCAAGTACTTTGATGTAAGCACGACTTTACTTTACTGTAGCCAATGACAATACAGATGATTCGATTAGTGTAATCAGCTAGTGAATTGCATTGTTTGTTTGCTTGGTTTAGTTTTTCATCTTGCTTAATTACTTCAAACTGGGTCTTCAAATATGGACTATAGAATACAGGAATGATCTGCTTGTGCGATCGGTTCATAGACTTCATCCAGGGGAAGTTGCCAGGGTCGCTTGGATCTCAACAACACCCCTAACACGAGAAATTCCCCGGAATTCCAAACTTATCTGCTGCGATTTGTAGCTATTTTGTTGTAAATTGTAAAAAGGGAATTACTTACATTTGTTTTCAAATTCATTGAGCAAATGAACAGAGCAAAAGGTTACATCATATCTGATTAAATTTTGAGATTGCTCACTTGAACAAATATTGTTTCCTTTTAAGCTTCGGACGGACCCTTTTTACTCGTTGCCAATTTGCCCTTCCCATCGTGACCTTCGGTAATATATTTATGAATGATGCATGTATTTTTTATACCCGATACTCAAAATGAGTATAGGGGTATATACATTTATGGTGAAAGTGGTAACATCCAGAAGGAAGCGTTTCCGACGCCATAAAGTATATTGATTTGTCCGTCTCTATGAGCGCCTAGTGCTCAGAGACTATAGAAGCTAGAACAACTAAATTATCCATCCAGACTTCTGTGATATGTCACTGTTACAACTGCATTTCAAAACTTCGCTTTGCCCCCTTCCGCCACCACAAAGGACGAAAATCTGTGGCGTCCACAATTTTCAAGATACGAGAAAACCAAAACCCAGAGTCGTAATCGTTACTATATCTTCTAGACTGCAGATCAGGAAAAGATCGTATCGTTATTATAGGCAGAATGAAGGAAACAATTCCGTTCTCTCTCGCTCTGTCTCTCTCTCTAACACACACGTTTAAAGGTCGGCTTTGCCGGAGCGCCTAGATCTCAGAGCCAAATTGGGTATCCACACTCCTGTGATATATCCAAATTTCGCACCACATATCGAGAATAACCATATCTACCATATTGCCGAATCTGAAGCAGATGGGATCATTATTATGGTCAGACGGAACAAATCAACTTTCAATGGCTTTTCGGTCTCTCACTCACCCATCGTCGTGCAATGTGTGCGTCCTCTGTCGGAGGAGAGCCATACTGGCTAAGTATCGGGTATAAATGTAGAGTTGCGGCCGCAGCAGCAAGTCACAACGTAGCCCCTCGTTTTTCTCTGGAAATGCGGAAAAATAAACCAATTGAAAAAGTTTTCATTACATTATTGCGTTTATAAAAAGGGGGTTAACAATACTGTTTCCTAGAATCTGATATGCAATTACAGACATTGTTTCGACATTAATTAGTTTTGCGTATCAATTTGAATGAATTAAATAAACAAGACGGGTCTGACCAGAGAGAGAGAGAGAGAGAGAGAGGGAGACGGAGAGGGCAGAGTGAGATCATCCGTCATCCGGGGAATGCGTGTGTTATAGTGTCGCCGGAGATTCCGCATTATTGCCGGAAGGGAATTCTCTATGGGAAGGCATTGCATCATATAGTGGCGCATCAGGGATCAGGCCTATCAATCGGTTGTAATCAGTTTAGCGCCCATGAAAAGTCCATTATCAGCAGCATGATGTTTCACTAATTGACTGTGTCTACGCAACATGAATATGAATGTGATTCTGAATCTGAATCTGAATGTGAATGTTGTAGTATAAATATGCGTCTGTCTACTATACATATGTGTACATACATAATGGCGATCGATCGTTCGACGGTGGAGTGTAATGAATGCCATGGAATGTTCGGTAGCTTTTCAGGAGTAGGGAGGCTACTTTTGGCACTTCTTCTGGCACTGTTCCTGCTCGTCCTTTGCCGGGATATTCTCTTTGGCATAGGCGATGCCCTTCTGTATGCTCTTCTCCAGCTCGGGCAGCATTTGCTCCAGGGACTCCCGCTCGAAATCGTCCAGATGCGGCAGCCCCAGGTTCTTCTCGATCCCCTTGTCACTCAGCACCAGGGGGGTGGCGAAGAAGGGCAGGCATGGGGACTTGTAGCCGACAAAGGCGCACTCCATCACGTCCGGCTCTTCGTTGAGGCCACGCAGCAGGGAGTTGACAAAGCGGGCTGCCGCATAGGCCATGGACAGAGTGGCCGAGCCGGCCCCGGCCTTGGCAATCACCACCTCGGTTCCTGCCTCCTGGATGCGATGCGTCAGGCGTTTTATATCCTCGAGCTGGCACTGGAAGCTCGGACAGCACTGGGAAAAGACGGGAAGTATGGTCTTCCCGGCATGGCCACCAATCACGGGCAGATCCACCTTTCTGGGATTCAGATTGAGAAAGTCCCCGACGAAGGTACTGGCCCGCACCACATCTAGAGTGGTGATGCCGAACAAACGCCGCGGGTCGTACGCATCCTTCGACTTCAGCAGCTCCGCGGCAATGGGCACGATCGAGTTGATTGGGTTGGTGACAAAGGCCAGCAGGGCCTGGGGACAGGACTCGCTGACGGCGCAGGCCACGCGTAGGGCCACCCCTGCATTGGCCTCGAACAGCTGGTCACGGGTCATTCCCGGCTTGCGGGGCATACCGGCGGGCACCACCACCACATCGGCACCGGCCAGGCAGTCCCCGAGCTCCTGGTCCTCGTACGCATTGGTCTGGACCGAGGTGCAGATGTGCGAGAGATCCGCCTGGACGCCCTTGATGTTCTTCATGTCGTGGATGGACAGCTCGCCCACCAGAGGATTCTGCTTCAGGAGCAGGCTAAGCGGCTGCCCAATGCCACCGCTGGCCCCCACGACAGCCACCTTGAACTCCCGGCGGCAGCTTCTCGGATTGATAAAACGTTGCAGCAGTCCCTTGGTTGTCGAGGCCAACATCTTACAGTTTTCTGATAATCAAAATTTTACAAAACTCTAATTTGTGCCTACAATCGATTTGGAGATGAACGGAATTTCAGTTGACTCTAAATGAATGATATGTCAGAGATACTATGTACATATATCAATGAAACGTGCGTGTCCGAAGGGGCGTAGCTTCTTGGGCCTACTGTAAATTCCAACCCGCTCTGATTAGGGTGGGAAAAGCCCCATCGCCCCCCATCTCCATCGCCACGCCGAACCTTCAAGTCCCCAGCCATGACGAGACGACTACAGTACCTGGGGCTGCCGAGTGCTGAGGTACGCTCTTGATAGACGCCTTCGGGTTCCGATCGCTGACACGAGATCGTCGCTCTCGGGAGTGAGTGCTGGGACTTCGGATGGTTCAGTTCATGTATAAAAAGTAATGCCCCATCATCGCTGATTTCCAGTTGCGGGCAAGCTAGGCTATCAATACGTATGGCAAAACCATCGAAAAAAACCCACAATATACCTAAAGTAGATTCAAGCAATCAACATTTTCGTCTCAGTCCGCGGTATTCTCCATCAGCGGAAATTGAGAAAGTATTATAAATAAATCCACAAATAAATCAGCTCAACCAGCGGAATGGCTCAGAAAGTAAGCAAACATTGGTTTAGCCTTTGAAATCTTGAATGAATTTTTGGATCCAAAGTCTAACGACACCCCATCGAACATGTCCAACTCAAAGATTATCGGCAATCCAAATAAAACATAATCAAAATTACACTTAACAATGATGGATAGCATGTGCCAAAAGGAAGTGAAGTTAATTGAAGAATCGCAGCGTATTTCGGTATATCACTATTGGATCTATACCATACAAATCCCCGAAAGTGAATGAACTTGCTTTGATTTGCAGAGCGTCTATGGAGGTGCAATATCATGTTAATTGAATCGCAAAAAATATATTCCAATTTGTGGAAATAATTTACTTTAAAGTCTAAACCTGTTCGAACTGCCGAAAAGCAACTGGTGCATCAGTGGGCTTGTTTGATCTTGCGACAACTAGAAACAGAGAATAAACCAATTTAAGCATTAGTACACCCACCTAAACATTATTAACATTGATTAACGGTTTCATTTCATCATCTTTCCAGATGTTCCACAATATACTACTACTGATAGCGACTCTGCTTCTAATCACCCTGAACGATGGAGTAGAGGCGCGACCCTCGCCAGAGGAGAGCAAAACAAAAATGCTCGTGGATCCCAGTGAATACAATGGGGATTTGTCGGTGGAGACCATCATGAAGGTTCAGCAGTGCGAGATGGATACCGCCACCATGGAGCTGTGCATGCGCTGTGCCAAAGTCACCAAGTCAGAGATCATATATCCGATGTGCTGCAGCAACGACGATGGCATCAAGAACTGGTGTCACTCCTATGTGTATTACGGCAACGATGAGGGCTACTAAGTAGGAGAAGATGCGGCGTGAATCGAATGAACAAATCTGACAATTAAATTATTTTGTACTCGCGCATGTATTGGCTGTGATAATCTAATGTATTTAAATTAAATTATATTTATCTAGGAATAAACAAGACAAGGCTAAATTAGCACATTCAATTAAATCTGGTTTTTCTTAGCCATAGAGGCGCTGGCATTGGCCTCTATGCCCCTTGTTTTTGCGGTTGTGAACCGTCGCGGCCTCGAGAATGTTTCGAAATGGTTTTAGCAAAGGCATGTAGTTCCCTTGGTGTCCTCTTGGAGGCATCTTCCATTGATGCCAGCACCATGAGAGAACCACCAGACAGTTACAGTGCGTATTCCCTCCAACATTCTGCAGATTCTGCATTCTTTCGGTCTGTATTCTTACCCACGGAAACGCTTTTATTTATTTTTAAAATCCTTTTTATTTAATTCTCATAAATTGTTTGTGTTCTGAATTTTCTTGTAAATTCAGTTGGTGTTTTTTTTTTAACTTTATAATAATTACAAATATATAATGACTATTTAGAGTGATTGGAAAATATAAATCAATATCGGCTCTAACGATCCTACCAATAAAGTTTTGAAAAGCAAGCAAATAATCAATGAAACTACGCGAATGTAACTTAACGAATATTACAGGTCTTGCTGTTGCCTTTTAGGACTCATTCTGAATTTCCAATTGGTAGATTTGTGGAAAATAAAAATCAAAATCAAAAAGGAAAAGTATACTAGTAATGGTAAAAAATGCACATCCGCTCGAGCGGTTCAAACTTGTTTGTACAGCACCGAACATCGAACGCCATCGAACATCGAACTTGCACGGCACGAGAGAGAGAGGTATATATAAATGTAATTAACAAGCAAGGTTTAAACAACTAACGGAACGGTGGTTTCTCTTTTGTTATCTTGTTGTTCATCATTTTTCGGTTTTTGCTTCTTTAGTTTTTTCATTAAAATTTGGTTTTGGTTTGTTTGTTTTTGCACTCATTTTGGCTGCTGCAGCTGCCACTGCAGCTGCGCTTTTTGCTCTGCTCTGTTCTGCTCCTTTCAAAGATCAGCTTTAATTGTTCGATTGCCGATTTGTTCTTTGTGTGTTTTACTCATTTTTTTTTTTTTAACGTTGACTGAAAACAACATTTAAATATTAGTAGCGTGAAGAGTTCAACTTACCAGAATTCAAGCACGCTATTTAAGAATGTTATTTTTGTTTCACGTTTGTGTTTTTTTTTGTTTTTGTTTTAGGTTAGTTTGAAAGAGTTTGGTTTTTGGCAGCTAAAGGTCCCAGAGCAGGGACTGGGGCTGGGTCTGGGTCTGAAGCTGGGTCCAGACGGTCCAAATGCAGGTAGGAACAGTCCGCATCCTCGCAGCGTCCCATCAGCTCGAAGGGACAGATGGTGGCATGGACATCGCAGGGGCTTATCGGGATGGAGTAAAAGCACGGAAATACATTTCGCCAACCGGCCGATCCGAAGATTTTACTCACCTACTGTAATTCCGCGGCATGATCGATCGGTACGCCGGAAGGTACGTGTCCCTCACCGACGCTGCCTCCTCCTCGCGCAGCTCCCTCATAGTGCCCACTGTGTAGGGTCCTGGCCGAAGTTTAGATACCGGTTCTGGTTCTGGCTCTGGGTCTGGCTCGTCCAGGGGTTGATTCTGAAAATAAACTCAACCGTTTCGTTAGTTTGGGGGCTTTTTTTGTGGGCCACAGTTCGGCGAGTGAACTCAGCACGGATGAAACACAGCCGTACATGAGTTGAATGACTTGAGAACTTTCTTAGCATTAGAAACGAAGCAATTGGTATATGTATAATAAAATCCACGCACATCTGGCATCAGTTGGGCCTCAGACTCGGTGGCTTTATCTGGCGGTGGTGGCTCTGAGCGTGCAACTATCGCAGTATCACTCGATATTCCATTCGCCTCCGATTCCCTCGCTGCCTCAGAGGCAGTTCGACTCGTCTCATCCTCCCTTGCCGACTGGGGCTCCATCGCAGTCAGTGGCGGCTGGCTCTCGTTTTCAGCTGGTGGCTGCGGCAGAGGTTGCTGCTCCTCCGTCAACTTCTTAAGATCGTCGTATTTCACTATTGAGTTGTAGAGGCGGATCTGCTTGGATAGCTGCGTTGATTTGTAGCTGATTTCCGCCTTTCCCTCGTCGAGCAACCTGCAAGAAAAGCGAATCTATAATCGCATAGAAATATTCCGGTGTCCCGAGCTCTGGGCATTTGGAGCTCGGTCTTGCTCGTTTGTTTCCACCATTCCCACGTGGATCTGCAATCTGGCTGCTGTTGTCGTTGTGGTAGTACCTGTAGTCGTCGCCCCTTAATCCTTTGCCCAGGTCCATGGCCGCTGCGTAGAGCTTGTTGCGTTTTTGTTTGAGTGATAAGATGATCTGGTGGGTGGTCTGAATCTCCGGCTGAATGCGGGCCAGCTTCAGCTCCTCCTGCTCGACGACCTGCCTTACGGCCTGCATCTCGCTGTAGAGCTCTTTCAGCCGATGCGAGCCTCGCATGCGCACCGCCTTCGACTTCTTAGCCTCCTCGACCAGTTGCATGGACTTTTCCAAATTTGCTATCATGCTTCCCCTGGAACAGACACACAATCAGAGATGAGCAACCCTGAGCGCTATGCAAGCGTGTATATCTACCCGATTCTGGCAAATGAGTTTTCGAACGACTTCAGCCGGGACTCCATGGGCGGTTGAATTGGCTTCACGATGGTTTTGACCTGGTTTTCATTCCCTGCCCCTGTCCCTGTCCCTGCCCCTATCTCTGTCCCTGCCCCTGCTGCTTTACTGCTGCTGCTGTGGATGGCCGCCTTTTGAACTGCCACTTGGCTGGGGCCGTTCGTTGTTGGAGCTTCCCCCAATGCGGCTGTTGTTGCCTTGTCTGCAGTCTCTGTTTTCTTGGCTGTCTTCAGCTTCTTCTGCTCTAGCAACTGCATGCGTTCGATCAGGCGGAGATACTCCTTCTGCGAAGCCACAGGCAAATGTCGCACTGCCTGAAATGGAAAGAATGGTAAAGAATATTTTGATCGTGGCTAGTGTTAGCTTCTACCCACCAGAGGAGTTTTCTTTGTCTGTTGTTGAGTCTTTGTAGTGGCAACATTTGGCGGAGTTTGTACCAACCTCTCCTTTTCACATGTATTTTCCGTGGCCTTGTCTGTCTTAGCCTCTTTGGTGCCATTTGTGCCTGGTGTAGGGACCTTGGAACGCGCCTGCTTCAGATAATCATCGATCTTCTTCTCAAAGTATTCACTCATGACCGATCGCCTGAGGTTGGGATTGGAGGTGGATGCTGGAGTCGATTCTAGTATCTCCGAGTTGGGAGTATTCGATCTCGTTGTAGAGCCACTGGGACTGCCCATGGCCAGGCTGAGCGGACTGGCATTTTCAGTGTAGTTGGAGTAACCAAAGCACGAGCTCAGCTCCAGGTTATCATCGCTCCCCGCTGAGTCATCGGCCAGGCTGATGATCAGCTTGCTCACCTTGATGCTAGCCGGATCGATATTGGTGACCAGTCGCGTGACAGGGGAGCTGGCATGGACCTTCAACGGGTTAAGGGGCTCCTTGACCAACAGTGTCGAGGGTCGCTTACAGCTCAGCTTTGCGGAGGATTGCTCCTCGGTGGGAATTTTGCGTTTGGTTGTGCTCTTTTTATTGATCACCTTGTTGGGTTTTACAATTTTTATAATTTTAGCGCAGGGGGACCTCTGAATCATCATATCTTTGCTAGATCCACGGCTAGATTCAGGCTGAGGTCCGATGGAGGATTGGTTTGAATCTTGGGACTTAGAAGCAGCCTCAACGAGGTGCTGTGAGGGCACTTCCTGCTCGATTTTATCCGCACCTTCAATTGGATAAATATCATCCTGGGGCTGTACAATTGGCTGACTGTCGTTCTGGGGCTGTTCAAAGGGCTGATTATCATCCTGGAGCTGTACAATGGGCTGACTATCATCCTGGGGCTGGCCAATTGGTTGACTATCATCCTGGAGCTGGCCATTTGGCTGACTATCATCCTGGGGCTGTTTGTCTTCTTTACTGGGCGCCACAAAAGCACAGGACTGGAAGCGGCGCACCGCATTCTTGAGTATCTCTGGGCTGAGACGGGACTTGATTGTGGGGAAACAACTGCCCTTTTTGGTGGCAATGCTGGACAGAAGCTGCGAACGCAGTTGTTCGGGATCATCGGAATCGTTGGAACCAATCGAATCCGATTTTAATGTAGACACTGCCAGAGTCGGGGCAGGTACAGGCAAGGGAGGTAATAATTCTGGAGGAAAAGACAGGACTGGCGTCGGTAGAAGAGGTTGACGCGTAGGTTCGGCCTCCTTGGCGGTCTTCAGATTAGACAGGAGCATGGCGCGCAAGGCTCCAGCTTCATCGTCACTCGTTTCCGGATGCGATTTGTCCAAGCTCTTCGTTTGCGTCTCTGTGTTTTCCATAGAAACGGATTGAGTATACGTTAGGGAGCTGTGATTGGAATTTTGCTCATCGACCAGATGCATGGCATCCCTGGCATCCTCGTCCAGATGGATGGGATGAATGTGGAATGGCGGCGGTGGTGGCGGCTCCTCGTCATCATACAGATCATCGTCCTCGTCTATCACAATTGGCATGGAAACGGGCGGCAGCGAGCTATTGGGCATAAAGCAGCGCCAGCTACCGCCGGCTCTGTCCAATGAGTTCCAGTTGTTCGTCCACACATTCCAAGTGTCTTTCTGCTCATCGCTATCCGTTTCGGCTAAATCCATGTCCACCGGTTTCGTGTCAACAGCATCCTCCGTGTGGTAGCTGAAGGGACTTGGTTCGCGCTCTGGCGAGGCAGCCGGACTTATCTCCATTAGGTCATCTATTTCATCCGTGTTACTGACTGTGGGAAGAACGCGGTTAATCATGTCGGTGGGTGAGTAGGCTCGCTCCGCATCGCGCTTCTTACGCGCCATATGTTTCTTGATTATGGCAGACTTGAGGGCTATCAGGCGCAGACTAAGCTCTGCGGGGTCTCCGCCTGGAGATGGAGCGGACGGTAGCGCATTCGCCTCCGCCCCCTCTTCCAGACAGAGACCATCGGGGAGTTGCTGCACTGGCGGCGACAGCAGCTCCTTGTTGGGCGACTTGCGCAGGGGATACTGCAGTCGGTCTCTGAGGCTGCTCTTGTACTGTCCCAGGATATCATTCCGCTCCTCTCTGGCCAAAGCCACGCGCAGCTTGTCCCTGCTGAGCTTCAGGCGTTCCAGGTCCAGGACGTCTTCCCCCTCATTCCCGGAGGTCACATCGTACTCGCGTATCTCGTCGTCTGTCAAGCTGTCGAAGGAGTTCAGCAATAGGGCATCCTGCTGCTGATAATGTTGATGATGGGTCGGCTTCTGATGCTGATAGTTCATATAGCTTGGGGTCAGCTGGCGACTGCGTAGATGCTGTGGCCTGTAGCGCCGCGCTGAGGTACTCCTTTTGTAGTCGCCATTTAGCAGTCTCCTGCCATTATCTACGCGTCTCAGTCTCGATCTTTGGTAATTGCGCTGGGAATCGTAATCGTTATCCGAATGGCTGGACACATCGGAAAGCAGATAGACCGGAGATTTTCGTGGAAGCCGCACAGTTCGCTCTTCGAGCTCCGGATAATCTGTAATTTTAAAAGAAAACAAAAACCTTATCTCGAGTGAGAGGAAGGGGCCATAACACCAAACTCAAATAACTTTGGCTGGAACTCGACCCGTTCAACTGGAATTGGGCGCCGTTTTGTAATATTATCCCATGGGAGAAGCCCTATGAAACACAAGTATGTACGCGTACTTGCAAACACACACACACGCACACACAGCCATTTTATTCTACATGTTGCTTACTATATTGATTTGCCAAATTTGCGGCCAGCATATCCATCCGCTCCACATCCTTGTTGTTCTCCTCCAATTGCTGGATCCGTGCTCGCAGCTTGAACTCTTCATCCTCTGAGGATATTATCACCTCGTAATCATCAACAATTTCGCCTTCTTCGCGATCATCCTCATCCATGACCTCGCGGTCACATATCGCATCACTATATCCGCGATCTGTCGCGCGCGCGGATTGCCTTAACTCCGCTGACATGGCGGGGCGGAGAACCATCATTTAGTCAAATTCCCGATTCTTATCACCTCTCTGCGTAGCTACACAAATGAAAGAAAATTCTGACTATTCAATTGTTTTATAGATCGTATCGTCAATGTGACCGTAAATATACCGATAAAAAAAAAACGAACTTAGCCCAATTTGGCCCCCTTTATTTAAACACGATAAAAACTTGAGTTATTTCTGGCTCATCGCTGTATCTAATATCACCTAATAAATAAATATATATAATATAAAATAATACAATTTTCATTATTTTCGGTGGAATATTAAAATACCCCTTGGTCTGTAATGGGTTAATCGTTCTCCGTCAAGGATTAGAAACCATATTCCTCGATTTTTATATTCGATTGATAGATCTACAAGACATTTTAATTTGTATTACTCTATTTATTGAACTTTTTCTTAAATAAGGTTTAAACAAAGTCATTTGCCAAAACGTAAATGTGTACCGAATGAAAAGTAAGTGTGTCTGAAATTTTAATTCATTGTCGCTGGTTATGACCTATTCATGCATTTGTTTATTTCCTTATCTCTATCCCCAAAAGCTTTTATCGGTCTCCGTAAGAAAACCATAAAATCTAAGACAGAGACTGACTGGTTTCTGCACTCAAAGAGAAATTGTTTGAAGTTGTCAGTTGTCAAACTTTGACGTTGTCAGTTGTCAAAATTTTACGCTACGTCAAAATGGTATGGACCCGACTCATGGGCCGAGAAAACGATCAGAAAACGATGCATACCCTAGGGAAAAGGATATTAAAGAATTAAGAAAATGTTTGACATCTCAGGCGCCGATATATGCGAAATCTAGTCTACAGAAACGAAGAATAGGTATCTCGATCTCGTTGTATATATACAAGACACTAATCATATGCATGAATGTGTCTACAACACATCAATCTGTGAAATAGGTCTTTGTTAATAACGTTTTAAAACAGTTTGAAAATTATGTGGACAGGAATATCTATTATGTACGCTACAACTTGAATTCATCAGTATATTTACGGTATATTTTTTAAAGGAGACGGTATATTTTGGTATATTTTATCGATAGGTCCCGACAAATCTGGGCACACCAACTGTCAAACGAACTTCCGCTCTTTTCTACCCAACTCGCGGATCAAAATGCAGCAAAAGGTATTTGTGCTTGTGAAAAAAGGCCGAATTGTGTGTGGAATATCAACTAAAGTAATGCAAATGTTCTTATTTTGCAGCGCAGAGAACCCGTGCAGGCAGTTCAGGTCTTCGGACGCAAGGTGTGTGTGCCATAAAGCATTCAAATCAAACGAAATTTTCGCACGTGTCGCACAGAAAAGCGCGTCAAATCGCCCAGTCGACGCGCTCTGCCGACCGCCGCTTCGGTGCTGAGGTTATGTTTGGGTGTGCGATGATTTTGATTTGGTGTGAAGCTTCTCCAGTGCAAAACATTGTAAACGGACACTAATTATTGGATTATTGCAGAAAACCGCCACCGCTGTCGCATATTGCAAGCGTGGCAGTGGTCTCCTGAAGGTGAACGGACGCCCTCTGGAGCAGATTGAGCCCAAAGTTCTGCAGTACAAACTGCAGGAGCCTCTCTTGTTGCTCGGCAAGGTATGTAGTCCCTCACCGTCTTTGGTTGTTGCTCTTAACACGACATTGATATGATGATAGCATTTATCCCGAACTTGAAGCCCAATGAGAATACAAAAATGTTTCTGATTAAATTAGAGCAACATTTGGACGTTTTACCTACCCCTTTCAAGGCCAACATTGATATATTTACTTCTATCGTTTTGCAGGAAAAATTCGCCGGTGTGGACATCCGTGTGCGCGTTAACGGTGGTGGTCATGTCGCCCAGATCTATGCCATCCGTCAAGCTATTTCCAAGGCCCTAGTTGCCTTCTACCAGAAGTGTAAGTAACAAAACTCTTAGATCAACACAACAATGGTGGCCTTAATAGGTTTTTGTTTGAGAGAACTTTCACTCTTTTGCAAATGATTCAATGCAGGCCAGACTAACATACATTATGAGCATATACCAACCAAGCTGGCAATATGTGATATGCAGATTGGGTGATGCTTCAAAAACATTTGATATAAAGGCACCTTCTACCAGATTTTTGTTGGAAGTTAATGCCATTTCCAACGAAAGACTTGAGCAAGGGAGAACAACTGCATGTCGCAATCAAAAAGAGCAATCGGTCGATTTGACCAAAGCTATTTGAGGCTTCATCGACATTAAAATTATGGAATCCTGCCAGCCTAACAGATTTTGCCCTTAAAAAGTTTTTGTTTAAGAGACTTTATACTCTTCTGCAAATGATTTAACAAGGGCTAGATCAAAGCACATTATGAGCATATACCAACCAAGCTGGCATTTTATTTGATATGCAGATTGGGTGATGCATCAGAAACAATTCGTATTCAAAGATTCCTGTACCCCTTCTACCAGATTTTTGTTGGAAGTAACTGCCTTTTCCAGTGAAAGACTTGAGCAAGGGAGAACAAGTGAATGTCGCAATCAAGGAGAGCACTGGCCAGTTCTGATCATTGCTACTTGAGGCTTCATCGACACTTGATTCGAGCAACAAATTGTTGGAGAGCTGATTGGTGATCATAGATATTTAATTTTTGAATTTCTTTCCTTCTATTACAGATGTCGATGAGGCCTCAAAGAAGGAGATCAAAGACATTCTGGTGCAATACGACAGAACCCTGCTGGTCGGCGATCCACGCCGTTGCGAGCCCAAGAAATTCGGTGGTCCAGGAGCCCGTGCTCGTTACCAGAAGTCGTACCGTTAAACTCTTCTGTCTGGTTTTCAATTTGGATTAGAGATATTTTTTACAATTTGAAAATGGTTTGCGCGCAAGTGTGAATAAAACGGAATAATTAACAGTAAGATTCAATTATGGCTATTTGTTGTTGGGTGGGTTTAAGTATAGTTCTAAAGGCACATACATATCATGAGACAGAATCGCTTGTGCAGGTACACGTCTGTGGCACTATTTGAGACATGGACATGTGTCCGTAAATACATATGTTGTTGATATGTAGAAACTGTGTAGTTACCATGTACAAAATACATTTTTGTTGACCTTTGTTCAAATCAAATTTTATAAACAATCAAATAAAGGGGAAAACTTAAAATTAGCAGAACTGGTATAAAATTGATTAAACAATCGGATATAATTATTTTTTCAGCGCTGAGGGTCCCAATTATCTAGTAATATTCAAGCGAATATCAAAAACAAGGAATATGATTTCCGAACATGACGGAGAACGATTAACCCATTACACTCCACGAAAATTGTGAATCTTGAAGAAATTTAGCAGTTCAGGTGAAAGATAGGAAGAAGAATTTAAAGATATAATTTTCCGCGATTTAACTTAAGTTGTTCACCTGTTTAAATAGAGGGGTGTTAAGAGGGTTAAGCACGGTTTGTTATCGGTAACAACAACAAATAACAATAAGTGTTAGTCATGGGAGCCTTTTTTGCGAAAAGTAGCAAAAAGACGGCCCCCAGTCGGATAACCGACCACGACAAGGCTGTCTTGGTAAGTCGCTATTCCTCCAGAGTTTCCTGACCCCTGCACTAACCCCCTCCACTCTTCCGATGCCCAGCAACTGAAGCAGCAACGGGACCGTCTCAAACAGTACCAGAAGCGCATTGAGCTGCAGCTGGAAAATGACAGGCTCCTCGCCAAGAAGTGCCTACAGCAGGGCCGGAAAGAGTATGGATTTCATAACGCCCAGACGATGTTAGTTTAGAGCTAATTTGAGTATTCTTTCAGCCGGGCCAAGCTGTTGCTGCGCAAGAAGAAATACCAGGAAAGTATGCTGACGAACGCGGACAAGCAGCTGGATAATCTGGAAAAACTGGCAGCCGACCTGGAGTTCGCCCAGGTGGAGATGAGGGTGCTGGATGGCTTGAAGCAGGGCAATGCCGCCCTGAAGAAGGTGCACGAAATGCTGGACATAAACGAAGTGGAAAGAATCATGGATGAGACAAGAGAGGGCATTGAGAAGCAGCAGGAGATAGACGCTATTCTGACGGACGCACTGACGCCGCAAGACGAAGAGGATGTCCTGGCCGAATTGGACGCCCTCGAGGCCGAAGAGGACGGCGTCCAGTTGCCGGAAGTGCCCACCGAGATACTGCCACCAGTCGACGAGGCGGCAGCAGAGGAGAAAGCAGAGACCAAAGCGATCAGCAGTAAGACGAAGAAGGTCCTTGTGGAGGCCTAGATCTATTTTCAATCGAAACTAATGCCATTTTGTATGTATGTGTTTGTATAGCCAGAAGCTAAATACTTCTATAAGTCCAATGTGAAATATATATTTTTCTAGAATCTATAATGCACAGGAACCGCACATAATTTAGTCAACATGAATTAAAACGGACTTCTTTGACCTGCGCATGTCCTCCTTGACGCGGCTGCGTAGACTGTTGTTGGTCTCCCGCAGCTTCTCGATCTCCTCGACGAGCACAATGTTCTCCTTGAACAGTTTGTCGTATTTCTTCTGCACCGACTTGTCCTCCGCCACCGCCTTGTAGCGCGCCAGAACGTTTTCAATCTGCTTGCGCTGGCGCATGAACTCATCCCGCACCTCGGCATCCAGGCTGACGAAGCGCTTCAGCTCGTCGTCGCTGGCATGCTTCTGGAACAGCGTTTTGACGGCCTTCTTGAGACCCTCGGCCGAATTGACCTCTCCGGCCACATAGTAGATGTCCGTGCAGATGGCGTGCAGGCACTCGCGAGACGCCTTGGCCCTGTGCCGCTCCGTATGCAGCTCCGCCACGTTGCTGAGGTACTTGTCGCGCATCTCCTTCAGCTGAAGCTCCAGCTGGATGTTGTTCTGGTTGAGACCCTCCAGTTCGCCCTCCATTTCGAGAATGTGCTTGCGCTTGTCATTGATCTGGAACTCGCGCGGCTCGATTTGGGCCTTAAGCTCGGCTATCTTGTGGCCCAGCACCTGCTTGTACTTATCCAGTTCCTGGTTCTTGTGCAGCAGATCCTGGATGCGCTTCTCCTTGCCGTTGATGGCATAGTCCCGATCGGCGATGTCCTTCTGCAGATCCTCGATATTGTTTATCTGCTTTTGGATGCAGCGCTGCGACTTGTAGTGCTCATCCTTGAGGGTCTCCACTTCCTCCAGCAGATTGTCGATCTCCTTGCTCTGCGCCTCGAACTTCTTCTGCAGCACACCCGCTTTGCCGCGCCACATCTGCGTCTCGTTCCGCTCGGTGGTCAGCTTGTTCTCGTACTCGGTTTGTGTGGCCACCATGTTGCGGTCGTTCTCCACCTCCACCTCGTGGCAGTACTCGATAAATTCGGCCTTCTTGTCCTGCATCTCCTCCATCAGGTCCCGGATGAGGCCCTTGCGCTCGTTCAGCTGCTGCTTGTAATTGTTCTCGAGGGCTTCCACCGTGTCCTGCAGCGTGCCAGTAGAGTTCTTCAGCTTGTCCTCGTAGCTCTCGCGGAGTTCCAGCATGTTCTCGCGCAAATTGGTGAACTTCTGGTACTCGATGAGCATGCGCTCCGAGTACTGGTTGGCCAGGGTGTCCAGCTGGAGGCGGTGCTCCTCCCGTATGGAGTTGATCTGGTAGGTTATGTGGTTCATCTCCTCGGTGTGCCTCGCCTCAATCTCGTTGTTCAGCTCCTTGAGCTCCTCCAGCGCCGAACAGTAGCTGCGATGCACCTCCTGCAGCTGCTGGCCATCGAAGATCTCGTTCTGGCTCAGCTGATATTGGAATTCCTCCGCCTGCTGCTTGAGACGCAGCTCCAAATTGGCAATTTGCTCGATCTTGTCGTTGAGCTGACTTCGCGGTATCAACACCTCCTGGCTCTTCAATAGGTCCTGGTCTATGGCGAGCACCTTGCCGTCTATGTTGTCCATCGACCAGATCGAAAGGGTGCCCTTCTTGGAAATGGCCAGGAGTAGGGTGCCATCGTAGGAGAACCTCAGCTTGTTGACCGGCCCATCGAAGAACCGGAAGTTGGTGAAGGTGCCGCCTCCCGCGTCCAGGAAGGGTAGCTGCATGTTGAAAAGATTACCCTCGTGATCGGAGACGAACATGATCATATCGGACCGGGCCAGACAAAGGTCCGACACGTAGCCCTTGGTCCTAGACGGAATCGTGATCTCCCGCACCAGTTCCGAGTTCTGGAACTCGCGGATGGTGCCAAAGTTTGTGCCCGCGTAGATCGTCAGCGGATCGTGAAAGCTGCACGAGACCGTCACATACTCGGTGCCCTTCTGCACGATCTCCTGCAATCGTGATCCCGTCTCCAGGTCCCACTGGTAGATGGCACCCTCCGCTCCGCCCGAGATGAGGTACTTGTCCGTCCGGGTCCAGGCCACGGACAGCACTGTGCCGTTGTGGCCCTTCAAATTGATCAGCACCTCCAGATTGTACACAGACGTGATTGCTATATTGTTGTCATAAGCGGCAGCCATCAAGTGACCAAGATTGGAGTATCGAACATCGTTGCAATGCGGGAAGTTGTACGTTTTCACAATCTGCGATAGGACAGAGATGGTAGATCGTGCTCTTGATCACATGAGATCATCAGAGTTCCCACTCACATTAAGATCATCCATGAAAATCTGGGTGATGCGCAGCTGATCCGAGAAGCCAATGGCTGCAATCAGGCCCGTGGAATTGAGCTCCACAATGTTGACATCCACCTGAAACTTACGCACCAGCTCCACCTTAGCCGTCTCGTAGTTCCAGATTCGAATGGTCTGATCCCTTGCTGAGTAAAGAATCAAACAATTAAGAAAGCTATAATTCGCATTTAAGAATACCTTCCATACGCATATAAGTGTAATATAAGAGGGTTCAATGAGGGTTACAGACAAACATGGATCGCGTACGAGTTTTCTTTATGAGATGCTACTCACAGGCTGTCATGATGATGGGTTTCCATGCGCAAACGGACACGGCGATGACCTCTCCCGTGTGGATGAGCACGCCGAGGGGCTCGAACTTCAATTGCTTGGTCTTGAGCGTCTCCGGAACGATAAGGATGCCCACATAGATCTGGTCATGGGTGGTGGTTACGATCACCGTCTCCTGCTTGTGATCGATGGCCAGATTGGTGATCTGGTACATGGGCTCAGCATAGAGTGTGGTGGGAACGGTGAGGATGGTCTTCCGCTCGAACTTAAACTTGGAGACGCGCTCAAAGACGAATGCCCGGTTGAACATGATGTAGGCGAAGCCCTTGGGGAAGGCGGTCATGCAGAGAACCCTTTGGTCGTGCGGGACGACTGCCTGCGTGGGCAACTGGAAGCGTTGATCCTGCGCCTCGCGATCTCGATCGAAGATCTCCTGGTCCATCATGAGGTCTACGGTGTCCGCCTCGCTGGCCTTCTGCGCCAGCTTCTGCTCGCCGTTCTCGACGAGAATCAGCTGATCATTGGCCGTGCCCACCATCAGCAGGTCCAGCGCCAGGAAGGCCATCGAAGTGACCCTGTAGCTGACCTTCAGGTTGTTGCTGATTGTGAATCCCCTCTCCGACTTGCTCATGAGGAGTAGGGTCCGGTCTCCGCCCACTGCCAGGAAGCTGCAGTCGCTTGGATTGCCAGCTATGCACTCGGCCCCGCTGTGGGAACCCAGAACTGTGGCCCGGCCCTCGATCACGGTGCTCGTCTTGTCCAGGACCAGCATGATCATGTGCTCATCCGGCGGCCGAGTCAGTATGGTCACTGCTCGCGAGTCATAGGTAAAGATCATCTGCTTGATATCCGCATTGCGATGATTGCCGGGTAGCTCCAAGTGCCGGCGCTTCTTCAGGGTGGACAGCTCGTAGATGGATATAAAGCGGCCACTGTTGATGGAGAGGCGGAAAGAAATCCCTTAAAGAGTAAGAAAAGTCTTAGAGGATGTGCTCATACTTCTTCACATGACGCTCCAGAACGGCCAGCAGCTTGCGATGAGAGCTCATAGCTATTATCTCGGGACGCGTGTCCTCAGGGAATCTGCATGATGGGAAGTCGCATGATTAGTGTCGGACTAACACACAGGATAACCTTGATAACTCACCTGAGGAACCTCTGCTTGTTCAAGACATAGTCGTGGAATGCCAGAACACCCTCCACCGGATAGATGACCTCCTTGTTCAGGTTGAAGTGGATGTTGCCAATCACATCCGATCGGAGGCCGTAGATGAGACGGGGCCGTATGACGACCGAATTATTAATCGAGCCTCTCGCCTGGTCGTCCATTCTGTCTGAATTCTATATAAAATATATGTGTGGTGTGATAAAGACAATTTTAACTAGGATTCGAGGCGAATTTCTCTCTCTCTCTCGCTGACAGACGAAACAAAATGGGGAACTGGAATTCGATCAAACAACTCAGGATATTGTTAAGGGAACGTTCCCCCAAAAGGGGCGCCACCGACGCCTGACAGTAAATTCCATGGCATCCGGGCGAGACCCTAACAACAAGAGTGCGGGGTTTGGGGCTGGACAAACGATTACCTCAATAGGAACGCTATCGTTTCTGTCTTAATCAAAACTGAGTCAAGAGCACCATGAATAAGTAACTAAAAATGCCGCTAAGTATGCTATTCATTAGGGAGGCGTTGCTAGTGGCCTCAGGCACCATCCGCCTCCAAAGTCCGCACTTAAGTTCAGAGTTGACATTAAGCATTTGCCAAAAACAACAATGAAATTTCCGCTGGAAAATTCCGCAATGTTGGCTGCCATTTCCTGGCCAGCGTCGCACTTGAACTCTGGTAGTGCGCTTTCAGCTCAATGTGGGTCTGTCTGTCACTCTGCCAGTCATCCAGTAAGCCAGCCAGTCAGTCAGCCAAACAGTCAGGCCAGCCAGTCAACCCTATCAAAAATTACTCCCTCCCTCCAAAGTTCCCTTCTTGCCCAAGGCAGGGCAACCGACCACGACCTAACACAAGGAATTCTTAGTTGAAGAAAAGCTGCTTTCTCTTCAGTTCATCGAAAAGAGAGGAGAGCACACCTGAAAGAGCTTTTGTGAGTGCAGTATGTACTACAAGTGGAGACGCTAGGACAGCTAGCTAAGCACGTAAGACAAACAATTTTATACTCGTATGTAAGAAACTAACTGTAAAAATCGTAGAAATCTTCTTCTACATAATTACATTTAGACACGCTAAAGAGTATATTCAGGAACACCTTGGATATCCGTATGGGCATTGCCTTTGTCACAGAAAAAATCTAGCTATATATAAGCCAAAATTCCATCTCATTTGCATTCACCTCTGAACAGGCGAAAGCTTCTGGCTGCGCTCTTGCACTCTCTCAATGTGCCTCTCTCTTTGTTTTTGGTTAAGAAGGTAGGGGCCTACAGCTTTTTTAGGGACCTTTGT